GTAACGACCGCACGTGGATGGCCAAAAAACCAACTACCAACTAGCGCACATGACGGCCATAATACGGAACGGTTTAGTCAGTTCAGTTCAGACACAAAAAAACGCTCGAACCGAAAATGTGGGAAAAACGCGCTCTAGACGCGTTGTGAACGCGCCAACAACAATCCAGGCACTGGCCAAAAACGGCAGCAGCAACAGCTCCACAGGCAGTAAAAGCACCAGAAGGTCCTGGGCGTCCCAAAACGGGCTCACTCACACACTTACACCCAACGACAGGGCTGCGCCGCTCGGCTACACTGAAAAAGTAATACCATAAGGTAATTATAAGTGAATGTTAGCGTCTAAAGTGTGTCCCGCATTTATTATTTGTTATTTAAGTTAGAATTCTGAGGCTCAACTATGTAAACAAATGTAAAAAGTTACAATTTAATATTTAATATCGAATTGCATATACGACTTGTTGGACAACCTCAATAATATTATAATATAAAATTAAACTATTTAAAGAACCAAATTTGTTTTTGATATCGATAAGCCGATTGTTAGAAGTGTGGAATTTAAGAGATTTTTTTTAATTGAAAAACACTATAAATTAAGAACAATTAACAATTAGTTAAATACGTTATAGCACAAATAAATTCCAGAAAGAACATCTTTTTAATAAAAGTTACTCTTTTTTACAAACGTTTTTAAAAACTATTTAACAAATTCTTGTAGATTTTTTTCAGCGTGTATTCTCTGCTCCATTGACTCGAATTTCACAACAACAACAGCTTTCAGGTGAAGCTCTCGCAGTAGCAGCGGGAGCAACAACAACTTTGTCCGGGGACTGCGTAGGGTGAGAGAGGAATCTTAACTGTTGCTCCGCCGCGCGAGAGAGCTCTCTCTTCTAACAAAATATGTTCAGTGTTGCCGTGCTGCACCTTCTCCCTTTCTCTTTCTCTTTCTCTCGCGAAACTGTTGCTCCTGAGCTTTACGCACGAAGCTTTTTTCGTGGCATAGTTTTTCGGGCTGAAAGGAGCGCGAAGCTTTTACGTGGGCGTTTGTTTATATTTTCCTCCTGGCCGAGCATGTGTTTTGGCTCACACACATTACCCCCGCACACACAAACACACACATACTCGTACGTTCAAGACCCAACACTCTGACACATTAAATTCTCCGTGTGGCGGCACTTGAAGCCGAGTTATTTTCCTTTTTTCTTCTTTATTTCACTTTTTTTTTGTTTGGCCGTCTGAAAAATGACGTTGCTTGACCTTAGGGACGTCTATTTACGGCTGGGTGTGTGGGTGTGTACGCCAGTGTGAGTGTGTGTGAGGGCGAGTGTCTTTTGTTATTCTAGGCCACAACGAATGAGTTAATTTCACGTTGGACCCCAAAATTGTGGCCCATTTTTCATGTCCTTTTGTTGCAAGCAGCGGAAAGCAGAAAAAAGGCATCAAAAAATTACAACCTACAAAAATCTTTACAGATTTGCTTGCAGACCAAATCAAAGACTTTCCCTGGAGACTACTTAAATATATATTTTGTAGAATTTTGTACCTATGTACATTAATAAATTCTGTTTTAGAAAATGTACTAATAAAGTTGGTGTATTTAACCTAAGAAATTTTGTTCGGTGCTTCCACAATTCATAGGCCGACTCATTAGGAATTTTCATAAGCCGGAATTAGCATATTTCCGTCAGCCATGCAAACAAACGCTAAGTCGCAGAAGAATAAAAAACCACGTAATATAAAAGCGAATCAAACCAAAAAGAGACAATAAAAAACAATTAATTAGATATATTCGCCTTCTATTGTGAAACCAAATTCAATTAAATTTCCAGCAAACATAATAAATTGACGAAGGAGACAGATTTATTGCGTCTGACAGACAAATGTTGAAATTTAAAATACGGCCCTCGGGAGTTTGGAGGGCATTTTGTCATCGTCCTGGAATTATTTCCTACTCCGCTTTAACAGCGGACAAATGCCAAACAAATTAAATTGTAATTAATCATTAGGTCGAACCCCAACCACCCCCTGCGTATTCCGCCCAGCACGTGCTGAGCGACCTATGACAACGTTCCACGGCAGTAAAATGTCTGCCAATTAATTACAAAGCGCATGAGAGGCCAGATAAGAGCGGCAGCCATTAAGGAAAACGCCATCCAGAGGCGACAAACAAAAAGAGCTCACATAAACAGGAATTGGGGCACATGGGCAATTAACACGACGCGGTGTATGTAACTTCCACATCTGAGTGCCTGGTGTATGAATTAATTGATTTTTTCGCAGCCTCTTGTTTGCCCTGAACCGGGTTAAAAAAGAGAGGAAGGTAAGTGTAAATGGCAATAAAAATTTAAATTATGTGTGAGCAGATTTCGTGTTAATTTAATGAATGTCGAGGGTGCTTCAAAGAATAAACCTTTGTAAGGTTTAAATCGCATGATTTCATCATTGAAATCTAGGATAAACTATTTTTAAAACCCATTACCATTATTTAAAACTTGTTCTTCGCCTAACCTTACTAACTATAAAAGAATTATTAATTGAATATTAGGCTATTCAACTCCTCATCTGTACTAATCGGATACATAACGCACATGCCTAATTAAATTCTCTATTTCTGGGTACTGTTTTGAAAGCTTATTACTGCCACACACATCAAGGAGAACCCCCTTCTTAAGCTCGAAATTGATTCCTTCGAGTTGCCCCGTCAGCTTTGGGCATTTGACTTCTGTTTCTGTGTAATTGTCATTGCTCGTTAGCGACATCTGACCCAATTACTAAATACTGTACTTCCCTTGGCTTTTCACAATTTGCGCCCTAATTGAATTGTTTAGTTTTGTTTATTTGTCCGTTTTCACTTGGCTGAGTCGATGGAGTGAGAATGGATTCCTAATTGATATTAATTGAAAATGTACGACTATAAATACCTTTTAATGAAGTTAACTTTTAGGAATTTTAATTAAAACATTAGAAAGTCAATCATCACATGCTGTTTTAATAATAACAGAGCATTTGGCTATTAAATTAAACTTAAGCCAGAACCAAAGAATATATTCCAAAGATTTACGTTATTAAATTTCCTTCAAACTCAACGTATGCATTTCGCCAGGTTCATTTATGATTAACTTGGCCAACACAAACGAGACTCTGAAATTGGCTTACTTCAATATGTGTTACGCACCCCACGCGAAACGACAAACAAACAAACAAGCAAACCCACAAAACAATGAAAACAAAAACCATTTTCTGGCACTTGCGTACTCACTATGTGCACTTCAAACAACTTTTTCGAGATTAAAGTGAATGTTACAAAACTAATGTGAATTTTATTGATTTTTAATTGTTAAAAACTAAAATGCTCATAAAAAATCCGGTCTGTATTTCTTTTTTGATTTTAATTTTTAAAAATAATAATTTTGAAATTTATTTGTCTCTAGTAAAAGCTGCTTTTAAAAAAAGTAATCTATGAGTAATAATGTTAAGGCTCAGGTATTTAAATATGTAAATATCTACAACCCCAATATTTTACATCTAACATATTTTGAAATACTTATTTTATTTATTTCTGCAAGTGAATAAAGCTGTGGGCTAAATTTAACTGTAATCGTAATGTGTCGACACTGAGGGTGTTTCTTTTTGGCCGCCAACTGCCTTTGAATTTCCCTGGCCAACAACAAATGTGGCTCCGGATGCTGTCGGCATTTGAATTTTCGGGGGGTGGAAAGTGGGTGTTCTCGGGAGGAGAAAAAGAGGGATTTGGGTAAGGAAGCTGGGGGATACACGTTCGTGCGTTTTGTTACTTGTTGTACATTCCCAACACCATTATTTCTTTCATTTACTCGATTTTCGTGCTTTTCATCCTTTATTGTTGTTTGCTCGAGTGCCGTTATCATTTGTCGGTTTATTTTGCACCATATGTGGCCGGGGAATGCCACTCCTTGACTTTCTCCTCTCCCAGCTTTCGCTCCATTTTGCCCCTTCTTCTCCTTTCTTTTGGGATAAAGAGTGGGCGCAGTTTATGCGCTCTGTACCATTGGGAATCCCAAAGCAAGGTGAACCCTCCCGGCCTAACCCCATCGATGGGTAAAATAACTAAGCTAACTACACTCTTGAAAAAGGTGGAAAGAACTTTACAAATGGGGAAGTATTTTTTTCTTTTTATGAAAAATATTGAAACAAAAAATTGAGTAAGGTACACATTTAACATTCTAAAAATGTAAAATTCAATTTATGGAAATAGGGATAAAAAATAAATAAAAAGCTGCAAATTGTCTACAAAACTCTAGAGCTTTATTTGATAAATAGATTGTATTTTTTATAATATATTATTCGTATACGGATTTTTTTTATAACTATACATTTTTATAATCATACTATTTTTCCAGTGTACACGCATGGGCTCATCTGTGCAATTTGCCAGTGTGGGTGTTTATAATAACTTAAATGTGTGTAAGCACTTTCCTTTCTCACTCCACCGCGACTTTCTACCTTGACCTTTAGCTGCCTTTTCTTTTTTGATTAACTTTTGCCCACCTGCTCAATTTTTATTTCACATATAAGCCCAATTTCTCTGAAATATAGTTTTTAAAACCAAATTTGGCGCCCAGTGTGAGCGTTGCCAGATCGCTAAACACATGTCTACCAGGGCTGCTGCTGCTTTACCATCAGCTGTTTTTTGTTTACTTCGCGTTCCACTTTTTGTTGTGATTTTCCTGCGCCGGTGAAAAGTGCACGTTTTTCCCATTTTCACCGACATAAACAAAAGCTATTTATAAACGATCGGCCAAACAAGAGAGGCGAACCAAGTGCGGCGGTTGAATTCTTTGTTTTAATCGGTGCCGCAGAGGTTTCCCGTTTTTGAATGCGTGCAGTTCGGCCCGTGGATGTGGATTTTCATGTGTATGTTGGCCAAAAACAAGGCGGCGGCCAATTAAAGCAGCAGCAGCAGAAGAGGAAGCACACGATTTATTGGGCAATTGTGGCCAAGAATCCTAAAGAGGCCACTTAACGCTGGTAAACAAACGGGTAAATTAGAAAGAAAGCTATTGCTGACAGGAAGAGCCCATAAATCATCATATTTTATCTTTCAGGTGGTGAACCAGGATCGTAGGTGATATTTAAGCTATAGAATCCACCTATGTTTATGTCAATTTTGGTTATAACAATTAGTTCTAATGATAACCACCTTTAAGAAGATGAGTAAGATAAGCCTATAGCCAGGAAACTTAAAAAACATATACCATTTGCCAAGAATTCGAGGGTTAATGGGGTCATCGGCTGTAAACAACCGATCGGATCTGATTAACTTGTTGCAGTAGGTGAGCAAAATAAATTAGAACCCGGAACAGGACACTTTAGTTCATTCCGCAGTGCCGACAATTTAATTAATGTGTACACGTTTTCAGATGCGACCACACAATTAATTTACAAAACAATGGACTGATGCGAACAGTTGTTAGCCGATGTCTGCCAAAACAAAAAGGCAAGAAGGCAAAGGGAAGGGCAACATCATCAGCGGAAACTACAACAATTGCAAGAACAGTAGCAAATATTGCCAGAGCAACAACAAGCAGCAACAATTGCCACAAGAGCAGCAACAACGACAGCAGCATGCCACATCAACATTTCGGCTAGAATTGAGCAATTTGCCAGTGCTGCTGCTACCGCTGCGTATACGTAATATTAAAAATAGGCTAACGCCCAGGCTGCAGGATGAACAAGCGCACCGTTGTCATCGCGGGAATCGTGGCCAGCCTCTTGTTCCTGGCGCTCGGCGCCAACTTCTACTTCATGTACTACCTAAGCGCCGAGGAGGGCCATCTGGCCAGCGTCCGGGCGCTGGAGAACATGATTCGGCACAAGATGCGCCACCTGAAGCCCAACTACCTCAATCGCAATCCGCGCTTCTTCATGTTCCGCAACAAGCTGCTCAAGAACTACAAGGCGGCGCCGTACGAAAACGCCAGTGTCCTCTGGGACATTGCCAATTGGGTGAGTCAATTGGGGGTTCATAGGTCTTATCACTGATGAACAGATATTATGCTTATGCAAACAACAAAGGCAAATGAGTTTCACGAGAGGAACTGTTCTATTTTATAATCTATTTTCCTGTTCAACAAACACTCAACCTGTTAATCTAATTTCAGTGGCCCCATGAAAATGAGGTTTATCCTTTGTACGACTCCTCGATGGGCCAGCTACTGGAAACAATGCGTCGCGAACCGATCACCAGGGTCAGCAACCTGGGACGCGGCACCCAGCTGAAGCTGCTGATGCGCCTTTCGCAACAGCAAAAGGTGATCTTCAAGCCGCAATGGTATCCGCGCGATGAGGTCATCGAGGGCATGGTGTACAGTGGCAAGGATCGGCACACAGCGGAAGTTTATGCCTTCTACCTCGGCGCCGTGCTCGACTTTCGATGGACGCCCATCGTTGTGGGCCGAGTGGTGAACTTAAAGAGGGAGATCTACGCCAACGGTGATCAGGAGCTGCAGCAAACAATAAACATCGAAACGGACGAGGATGGCAAGGAAAAGTACTGCTTGTTTGGGAAGTGTCACTACTGCAACGAGGAGGAGACCGTCTGCGGCGATGAGAGGCACAATATCGAAGGCGTTCTCATCTATATCGTTCCGGGAACGATGGCCAAGCGGCGGTCGCCGTGGCAGCGCACCTACAAGGAGGACAAGCGGGCGCCCTGGGAGGACGACATGACCTACTGCAAGTAAGTGGTACCATTTCTACAAAAAACACATATTTAATATGACTCTTTTAGGTCGTTGAAAAATAAAATGGAGACAATTCGCCTGCTGGACCTCATAGATGCTGCTATTTTTGATTACCTAATACAGAATGGGGATCGTCATCACTATGAAACGCGGGAAGAGCGCGTGGTGTTCATCGATAATGGCAAGTCTTTTGGCAATCCGAACAAGGATCACTTGGATATCCTGGCGCCACTCTACCAATGCTGCCTGTAAGACCCTAACGAAATGAAATGACTAGAAATATTAACATGTATACCTTTCAGCCTGCGAAAAGTCCACGTGGGATCGCCTGCAGGTTTTCTCCGGCGGCGTGCTCACGGAAATCATCGATCGGCTGTCCAAACAGGATGCTCTCTATCCCCTAATTACGGATAAGCATAAAAAAGGAGTGGAGCGACGACTTCTGGTGGTCTATGCGGTTGTGGAACACTGCATGGACATCGAGGGCGACAAAATGTTCAAAACTCTGTAGTTCAGGCTTGAGATTAAGGGCCAACGAAGGTTGTAGATTCAGAACGAGCCAGCACTAGAGCTTCCGGAACTCACTTTCCACATCCTACTTAAGAAATTAGCTAAAGCTAGCTAGAATTTTATTTAATAATTTTAGTCAACGTTCCCTTTCGACGGCTGTTTAAATAGTTCTTTTGAAAACCACTAAATATCCAAATATAAGCATCCCTCTTTCTTTTCTTAATCGTTATTGATGTTAAAGTTCTAGCTTAGTTAACTATTTCCCCGAATCCAATGATTGAAAAAGCAATTAGGTCAAAATGTTAATACCGCGATGCCATCCATCAAGAATTTTAGTCAAAAAACATGACATCTTAATCTTAAAATCAAATATAATGCGAAGTGCAGCATTTTTTAAAATGAAAATTCAGATTCATCCATAAATATGACAATCTATCAATGACTTTTTATAATTTTCCACTTTAATATCTCTTTTATCATGTTCTCAAAACTGTTTAGCATTGTAAACCGCACCTTAAAAACATATCCGATAGTCTAGTTTAATGTATAGTTACGGTTGTTATTTAATAGGTAATATTTTAGAAAATTGAAATTAAAAATTATAGTTTTGTAACTTGAAAGAAGAGTGTAACAATCAAAAATAAACACTTGTCTAATTCAATTTTGGTGGTTTTGTATTTTTTCTATCAAGTCCACGTCCTGAATATATATAGTACTTTTATATATATTTTTCAGACTTTCGTCACAATTGCAGTTTATTTTTTGCCATCTTTCTTTACATTACTAAATGTAAAAAGCTTGTTGAACTGCTTATTGTTGCGGTTGTTGGGACGGTTCTAAAAAAAAGTAATCAGGGATAAATGATTAGTATCGCTGAAGTCAACGGATTAAGATAGTTAGAACTATTATTTAAAATTATAACCCAATTTTTAAAATAGTAACTAAATATTATTGTTAGGTCAAAATGAATGACACTCACCTTTCCGCGAATATTCTGCTTGATTTCTGTTCCGCGGGCTCTTTGCGCTCCTCCCTTGAATTGCCGGAAGTCCACGTTCTTGTAGTCAAAGTTGCCTTCAGCCTTTGGATGAGTGATATGCTGACTGGAGCTCTGGGGATGATTTCCTCGGTTTTTGGCCTTAAAACCGCGCTGGAATTGCTTTCGCTTCTGCTGCTTCTTACTCTGTGCTGGCGGAGGCTTTGGTGGCTCTGTGGCTTGCCTTTCTATGGGCACTTCCACGACCTCATCGTCGCTTTCGCCAGGAACCTGATGGACCACTTCTGCTGGTTCTTTTTTCACTGGCGGCTCTGGCTTTACTCTAGGTTTTGTATTCTCATCTTTGCGGGATCTCTTACTGGTAGTCGGCTGTTGATCAGCATCCGTTTTGCCGTTGGTTTGGTGCTTGCGTTTCAGTTGCTCCTTCAGCGGCACGGAGTACATGGCATCCTCTTCTTGCTTGATGGTATGTCCCTCCAGCTTAATGTTTTGCTCCGGTTCCGGTGCCGCTGGACACAAACGCCTCTTCAGCAGCTCACTGCGCTCCCTGGCATTCTGATCCTCCTTCAGCTGCTCCATCAGCGGCAGGATGGCCAAGTAGCGTTTGTAGGGCATGCGCAGGGTCTGGCTCTCCTTGCGCAGATAGGCCCATCGTTGCTCCTCCTCAGGCGTGGGTTTGGCTGGTTTGTCAAAGAGAGCCATTGCAGGTGTTGCTATAAGTTGATCTTCTTTGGGGACATCCTCCTCCCTGGGCAGCTCAAGTTTTCCTGTGGCTGAACTGCGTTTCAGCAGCGTGGGCAGATCGTCGCGGGTCTCCTCCTGATGCGAAAAGTCGTGCGGACAGTAGAGCTTGCTGCTGAAATCTTTGGTAGAGGGCGGCAACGATGCCTGTGTGCTGCTGCGGGCTTCCAAAATTGGCTGCAATAGTAAGCATAGTATAGTTATAAGCCAGAGGGCACAGAAAAACCTTAATTTTAGCCACTTTGTTAGTAATAAATTAGACTATGCGGTGAAGTCGAGATGTACTCTTCATTTCAACGTTAGTTACAATTAATAGACAATGAAAACATTTCGGAATAGCCACCGACGTTCAGCGAGCTGCAGGCGCTGCTTGAAAGCGCCGGGAAACTCACTTTGACCAGCGGCTGATCGCGCGCCTTGAGGACAATCTGGTGGAGCGTGTGCAGCTGTTGGCGCACCAGCGGCGGAATGGGATTGCAGCAGGCCAGGATGCCCTGCATCTCCCGCGGCAGACTCTCGGCGATTTGAAGCATCATATGGTTGGGCAACACATAGCCATAGCTCTCATCCTCCGAACGCGCCGTCGCATCGCGCCACTCGAAGATTCCGCGGAGGGCGTACAGCTGGCGATTGTCGAAGGATCGCTTAGTTTTCCGCACCAAATCCATATGGGATTCGGGACCAATGTGAGGCTTATTGTAGCGCTTCTTGCACACATCCGTGCTCAGTTGATAGACACTGCCCAGCAGACCCGGCTCCGCCTGCTGCTGCAGCAAATCGTTAGTCATCCGTTCGTAAACGTATATCAGAAAGTGGGTATCCTGGCGGGCATAGTCCACCAGCTGCTGGGGCAGTGGCCTCATCCGCCAGTCGGCCAGTTGCAGGCTCTTGTCCACATCCAAATCCAGATAGTTCTTCAGCAAGAAGGCCAGCGACAAACGGGCCATGTTCAAGGCCTTGGCTGCCCGATGGGTGTCGAACATGTTGACAATATACAAAGACAAGTCCCTCTGCAGCCACTCAATGTCCAAGTCGGCGCCGTGCAGAATCTTCAGCTTCTTGGGATCGGTGAGCACCAGATTCAGTATGTGCATCTCATCGCGCAGAATGAGGGTATCGAAAATATAATCTTTGTTGCGCGTCGACATCTGGACGAGGCAAGTGATGCCCATGAAGGTGCGATACGAGTGGTGCTCCACATCTATGGCTATTTGGGTCGCTTGCCTCAGCTCCTCCAGGGCCTGCTGCAGCTTCTCCACGGTGTCCACCACCAGTAACTCGGTGTTTGCCATTAGTTCTGGGAGCACTGGCTTCTGTTTCTGCAGTTGCTGCGCCGGAGGCTGAAACTTGAGCAGCTCAAACTCGTAGGGATGCAAATATGACACGATATTGCCGGCATCATCGTATTCGGGGAGGAGTGCCAGCGGTTTCAGTGAATTGGGCTTCTCCTTGAGCCTGGGAACGAACGGAGTCTGGCCACTGTTATCCACCGGCTCCTTAAATTGCGTCTGCGGGCGAACAATGTTTTTGGCCGTAAAGAGGCGAGCCGAAACCATGCTGCGTTGCGGTGTTCCTGTCGTTCTGTTCCAGCTGCCCGCCTTGGGCGTCTCCTGGGTTTGCGGCGAAGCCACCGAGGGCTCGCCTGCAGTGGAGCTGCTCATCACGTCCACCTGGGCCTCCACGACCTGTTGGGGATTCCGGCGCAGACCGCTCTTGATGTCCAGATTGGTGGTGATGCGCTCGAACAGTATGTCGTTGCACTCCTGCACCATCTCAAACTGCTCTTCCAGTTGGCGTCTGTTTGGAGAAGGCAGTTAAATCGTTAGAAGCATGTTGTTATATGGATTTTTTTGATATTTTATAGACCTTAGACTTAAAGGACTAAGATGTGTAGTTGAAGGCAGACTTTTAGGAGGACTGGTTCAACAATAGAGCCCTGTGTAAATCATTCAATTTTTGTTTTATCATAGTATGCCATGAAAATTCAGATTTGTTTAATTCAATTCTGTGTGAAATTAATTTAATGATTTTCTAATTCATTTCGAATTGAAGGAATGAATGAATAATTTTTATGAATTTTTTGAGTTTTCCAGATATTTTTTTTGCTCTCTTTTGAGAACAAAAAGTGGAAATTTTTTAACAAATCATTGTTAACTGCTTAGAAAATAAAATTTAGGCCATTTCTTCAAACTATTATTGTCGTTTGAATTATTTCGGAATTCATGCCATTCATTCATTTAATTCTATTAAACTCAAAATTCAAATTCATTCAATTCTATTAAACTCAAAATTCTAATTAATTCATTCAAATAAAACAAAAAATTCAAAATAATTCATTGAATCCATTCATGCAGGGATCTATTCAACAAGTGGATGATTAAAGATTCACTTTAGAGAGTCCCAGGATAGGATATCACAATTTATAGACTTATTCTCGATTATCACCTGCGGAAACTTACTTCTTGATGTCGCCCTTGATCTCCTTGGCCTGGAGCACGTTCCCGATGAGCCCCACCACCCGTTGCGACAGGTCGTCCATGACACGTGCGTAGCCCGGGTAGCTCAAGTAAAGGGCGCGGGCGGTTCCCTGGGGAAAGGCGTTGGCGGCCCTGGTGGCGCCCACTACGTTCCTGAAGGCTTGCTGCACAGACAATCCAAAATATAAATGCATTTGGTACCATAAAACCATTTAGAATCTCTACCCACGTTTGTGAACGCCTCGACATCTTCTGCAGCGGATCCCTCTGGCAGCTGATCGGCCTGAACCTGCTCCTCCTTGGCCTCCGCGTGAACTCTTTTCGGGGGTCGCGGCATTTCTGTTTTTCCTTCAGTGTTTTGTGTTCTGTTCGTTAAAATGTATATTTCGTTTTACAGATTTGCAGAAAATGTGCGTGTTTTTCTCTTCTTCTTTCGTGAACAATAACAACAGCTAGAATTTCGAGTTTGTCATCACTACCGGCGACAAAATTTGCTCACTATGCAGCACTACAAGGTGACCGCAATCAAAATCACCCTGATTTTAAAATTTTAGGCAAATTTGGAAGGAAGATTTCGTAATGTTCAAATACTGACAGAAGCTGCTTTGATCCTAATTTAAAAAAAAAACTTTTTTGAATTATACTGAAAATTTTTAATTATTTAGCTTTTTTATAGCTGGTTTAAGCCGCAATCGAATCGATTTCAGGGTATTTTAAAATTTTAGGCAAATTTGGAAGGAAGATTTCGTAATGTTCAAATAATGACGGAAGCTGCTTTGTTCCTAATTAAAAAAAAACTTTTTTGAATTATACCGCAAATTTTTAAGTTATTTAGCTTTTTTATACCTTGTAGAGGGTTTTATAATTTGTGTGTTTGACGCATGAAGGGTTTTTGATATTTAGCGAGTCTATCTAGCCATGTCCGTCTGTCCGTCTGTCCGTCTGTCCGTTTCTATGCGAACTAATCTCCCACTTTTTAAAAATTAACAAAAAAAAATTCCCCAAAGACCTTTTTTTTTTTAAGGAAAAAAAAATTTTGGGCCCCCCGGAAAAACAAAAAAAAAAAATAAAAACCCACAAAAAAAAAAAAAGAAATTATTGTAACTTTGTAGGAAGTAGGCGTTTTGATTCTTGACTACTTAAAAACAAATTGAAATAAATCGAAATGATCTGGCCTGGAACTGCACCGTGGTTTCTTTTATCTAAAGGGTATATAAGTTCGGCTGGAGGTGCTTCTTTCTTGTTATAGCTGGTTTTACTGCCAGTGTGCCCACACCTCGGCCACCGGCAAAAATCCGAATAGCCAGAAGAAGAAGCAGTCACTCCATCGGAAAGGGACGGAGTTACGTGCTAAAAAGTAATTATATGCGCCTAAGTTAAGTCTGTTTTAGAGGTACACCCACCGCCGAGATGTTGGACCTGTACAGGCGCACGGTGGCGCGATTTCCGCTGGGCAGCGTCAGCTACATGTTCGCCTACGGATCCGGCGTGAAGCAGCAGGAGGGCTATGAAAGCCTGTCCACTGGAAATGGCTATCGTCCGGCGCCGGGAAGCGTTGTGGATCTGGTCTTTTGCGTGCGGGACGCTCAGGGCTTCCATGCCGAGAACCTGCACCGCCATCCGGAACACTACTCCGCTTTGAGGCACCTGGGAGCGGGCTTTGTGGCCAAGTACCAGGAGCGTTTGGGTGCGGGCGTCTATTGCAACACTCTGGTGCCGCTGGCGGATGTGGGTCTCACCATAAAGTACGGCGTGGTGTCGCAGGAACAGCTGCTGGAGGATCTGCTGGACTGGCGGCATCTATACCTCGCCGGCAGGCTGCACAAACCGGTGACGAATCTAGTCAATCCCAGCGATAATCCTCCCCTGAAGGCCGCGCTGGACAGGAACCTTTTGTCCGCCCTGCAAGTGGCTCTGCTGCTGCTGCCGGAAAAGTTCACCGCCTACGCGCTGTTCCACACCATCGCCGGGCTGAGTTACAAGGGGGATTTCCGCATGATCTTCGGGGAGAACAAGCAGAAGGTGCACAACATCGTTAATCCGCAAATCAACGACTTCTTTGCCCTGTACCAACCCTCTTTGGGCCAACTCTCCCAGTGCGTGGCCGTCAATATGAAGGGCCAGGAACCAGGAAGCCGGAAGCCAGCCATACTCTTCGAGCAGGACAAATCCTCGTCGGCCACGTCGCAACACCTGCGACAGTTGCCCGCGGAGCTCAAGAAACGGCTGGAGCGGAATGCCGCCTGTAAGGGTGACTACGCCGAGGTGGTGGACCATCTTTCGGTGGCCTCACAGCTGCCCGAGGTCCTGCAGGCCTCCGTGAACGACATCGTGTGGCGCAGCAGTGTCGCGCAATCGATCAAAAACATTGCCAGTGCCGGCGTTCTCAAGTCCCTGGTCTACAGCTATCGCAAGGCTCAGAAAACCTTCGCTGTTTAGGTTTCTTTTCGGGGTAATCCAATCCAATCCCCTGGCTGCCAATCTACCGACTAAGTTGCCCCCTCCAGCTGCATTTCGTTACATAATTCTAAGCTTTAAAGTTGTTAACTGCAATATACGTTTAGTCCAAGCCAAAGAACTGAGTTTTCTTGGGGATCTCAGAACGCATCTAGATGAAATGGAGCTGGTTCTCTAAGGAAATTCAATTCCTGTTATAAGTTTTCTTTAATTTTAATTGATTTTATCCCTTTTCCCTTACAGATCATGTCGAGCACTGATAGTTGCAGTGACAGCAGTTCCTCCAGCGATGAAAGGCACCGGAAAAGGAAGCACAAGAAGCACAGCAAAGATGTGGACAAGTCCAAAAAGAAGAAGTCCAAGAAGCACAAGAAAGTGAAGCGTCGCCACAAGGAGAAAAAGCGAAGCAGGCAGGAGGAGGAGCAACCTCCAGCTTTGTTGAACGTTGCGCCACCAGAAGATGTGGCTTCAAATAGTGAAGATGCCTTTGGTCCTGCACTGCCACCGCATTTGAGGAAGCCGATTCTACCAGAAATTCCAGAGGAGAGCCAACCGAAAGTGCAACCGCAGGCCATGATTGGTCCCATTTTGCCCAGCAGTTTGGCTAAGGAAAAGTCTCCTGTTGAAGATGCCGAATCGGAGGATGAAGATGATCTGGCTGGCACCTTTGGCCCACTGCCAAACGCCAGCCAAGTGGCCTTAGAGGAGCGTGCTTTGGCCCTCAAGTTGGCTGCCCTGGAGGGCGGAGCGCTGGGTACTTCGACAGACCAGGAAGTGCGTGAAGAGTGGATGCTGGAACTGCCGGATGTGGGTCTAAAAAGCGGTCTTGCCGCCCTGAGCAACATGAAGCGCACCTTCCATCAGGGAAAGGAGCGACCCGACTTCAGCGATCGATCCTCCTGGACGAAGACGCCCCAGAGTGAAGCGGCTGCTGCTGCAGCGGGACCAAAGTCCTTCAGCTCCAAGGAACTGGAGCAGATGGCCCAGGCGAAGTACGAGCAGCAGCGCGATGACGAACAGGAGAGTATGGCCAAGAAACACAAAAAAAAGCACAAACGTGACGAGTCTCTGGTGGAGTTGCATCAAAAAAAGCTAAGAAAGGAGCAGAGGGAAAAGGTTTGGAAATAAATTAATATTTGCAATATATACAATTTATTTAACATATATTATTTTTCAGGAAAAGGAGTTGGCTGCCTCGGGTTCCAAGCCAGAACGAAGACCCTTTAGCAGGGATGTGGACTTGAAGCTTAACAAGATCGACAAGAATCAAACCAAGCAGATTGTGGACAAGGCAAAGATACTCAACACCAAGTTCTCCAGGGGGCAGGCCAAGTATCTTTAGGAATAATCGTTGAATAAAACCTCAGCTTAATAAAAAAAAGTACTAGGATTTAATTTAGAAATATGAATAATATAGACAAAATAGTTTTAAAATGCTCAAATCTTGTATTAAGTGAAAAGAAATTGAAGTTTTTATCAACTTATAGCGAATGTATCATTTTAAATGCTTAGAGATTTAGTTGCTTAGTCACATAGCTTAAACCTCAGTTTAATCGACATAAATAAGTAAGAATTACAAATAATTGGACAATACAAGCTAGAGGAGTACAAAATGATGTGGCATTTTCAGCGCTGTGGCGGTGGCTTCGGTTTTGGAATCTTCGAGAGCAGCATCTGGATCTCGTCCTTCTCCTTCCAGTCCTTCCACAACTCGTACAGATTGACAATGGCGCGCACGATCTCCTGGACCTTGTCCAGATCCACATTCAGCTCAGCGAACCACTGCTTTGTGGCGTCCTTTTGCAGGATCACGCAGGCGATCTGCAGGCAGGCGATGGCGATCTAAAAAGAAGGGAATTGTGAGTTAAAAGCACTACGTGGTTAGGATCACCCACCTGATAAGGAGGATACAGCAGGCAGACATCGGTGCGCAGGGAATCGTTGACGATGCGCCAACTGAGCGTGAGCAACTGGTCCTCCTGGCCCATGTCCTGGACCAACTGCAGCAGCGGCCTGTAAGGCTGGTAGACAATGAGGCAGCAATCCAGGTTCTCCAGCAGGTAGAACTCGCACTCCAGGATGTGATTGGTGCGGTAGGGGAACTCCTGGGCGTACGCATAGCTGAACTTGGTCTTGATGGCCGACTGGCAGATGGAGATGAGCCGGGAATTGGATATTACGCCAAATTCCTCCACTTTCGAAGCCAGCAGGATGCAGGTGGGCGCCAGCAGCAGGGGATCGATGTTCTTCAGCGAGTTCCTCGCATAGAATCGTTTAAAGTAAACTGTGGCCGTGGCGATGACCTGCTGCCTGAGCTTTAGCTGCTCCCCCAGCACCTGGATGACGTTGGCGAAGAAGATAAACACCTTTTGGTACTCATCCTCGTTCAAAGCCAACAAATCGAGTTGACGCTCCCTCAGCAGATCGGGTTTGTCCAGGATCCACTGCTGCGAGTGCGAACTCTGCCAGAAATTGCCCGCCATATCTGTGAGTAGTAGGCCGAGCTGCAAGCGCCGGCAAATACTTTTTCGTTAGCTATCCAAATTAAATGTTTATTTCGAAAAAGAAAGCCGGAAAACCCAGGAAAACCGATTTTTTTTTGCTTGGGCGAACAGTGTGTGCACACTTTGCTGCCTTTTCCCCCAAACAGCTGACTAAGCACCCGATTCGATAGGTATCGATTCTCGATTGGCTGGTGTGTGTGTGTGTGAGTTTTTCAGCCGCGGCCACAGACGAAAAAGTCTTAAATATTTTTTAGTAAATAGGCTACTTAAACGATTTAACTGAACGATGGCGTTGCGAGTTCTTGGCGTGACGCAGAATATGCGCACCTACATGCGGGGCGTGGACATGATCAAGGTAAGCGAGTCCAATGATTACGCTCCACAGGATTTAAATTACGTAATTGTTAATGGTTGTGTTTTGGCCGTGTTTTCGGCCAATACTTGTCGTTAATAAGGATAAATAGGCTCCTTGTGGGTGCTTCTAGCAAGCCATTAAGTTTTCCCGAAGAAAAGTTCGAAAATTTTAGGTGGGGAACCCCTCACAATATCTTTGAGGTTATGTTCGTGTTTTACTTAACTTTGGCCTAAAGTTTTCCCCATTTTCCCCAACCCACAGCGCTTCAAGTCGGCTGCCACGCTGCAGAAGACCCTGCTGAACATACCCGCCACCCAGGTGACCAAGCTGGACAACGGTCTCCGCGTGGCCAGCGAGGATTCGGGCGCCTCCACCGCCACCGTAGGTCTGTGGATCGATGCGGGTTCCCGGTCGGAGAACGAGAAGAACAACGGAGTGGCCCACTTCCTGGAGCACATGGCCTTCAAGGTTCGGCCTAGTCTATTCCTGATCTAAACCCCTTGTAATTACTTTTTTTTTACCTGTTTTTAGGGCACCGCCAAGCGCTCGCAGACCGATTTGGAGTTGGAGGTGGAGAACCTGGGCGCCCACTTGAACGCCTACACCTCCCGGGAGCAGACCGTCTTCTACGCCAAGTGCCTGTCCAAGGATGTGCCCAAGGCCGTCGAGATTCTGGCCGACATCATCCAGAACTCCAAGCTCGGCGAGGCTGAGATCGCCCGCGAGCGTTCGGTGATTCTGCGCGAGATGCAGGAGGTGGAAAGCAACCTGCAGGAGGTGGTCTTCGATCATCTGCACGCCACCGCCTACCAGGGCACTCCGTTGGGCCAGACCATCCTGGGACCCACCAAGAACATCCAGTCCATTGGCAAATCCGACCTGACCGACTACATTCAGACCCACTACAAGGCCTCGCGCATCGTTCTGGCCGCCGCCGGCGGCGTCAAGCACGACGATCTGGTCAAGCTGGCCTGCGGCAGCCTCGGTGGCCTGGAGGCCAGTGTTCTGCCCCCGGAGGTGACGCCCTGCCGCTTCACCGGCTCCGAGGTGCGCGTGCGCGACGACTCGCTGCCTCTGGCTCATGTGGCCATCGCCGTCGAGGGCTGCGGCTGGACCGACCAGGACAACATCCCCCTGATGGTGGCCAACACCCTGGTGGGTGCCTGGGATCGCTCCCAGGGCGGTGGCGCCAACAACGCCTCCAATCTGGCCCGTGCCAGCGCCGAGGACAGTAAGTTAGCCTATTGAGGCTAAGGAGATTTCGAAATTAATAAGTAATTTTCCCCCGCAGACCTTTGCCACAGCTTCCAGTCGTTCAACACATGCTACAAGGACACCGGTCTCTGGGGCATTTACTTCGTCTGCGATCCTCTGCAGTGTGAGGTGAGTAAAGAGTCCTAAATGGGCGCCAAATTGAAATTAACAGAATACCTAAGATAAAGAGGTGAAGAAAACATCGGCTGTAAAAATCGCACGATCGACGTTTTTAATGCTATTGCAGGTCAAAAAAACCATGCTTCCAGTAATTTTTTGACATAAAAATCAATTTTAAACCGAGCTAAAAAAAAGAAATAAAAAAGCTAAGATATAAACAAACAGCTGAAGCGTAAATTAAAATATGCAGCTGTTCTTTCGTTTGGTCTTACAAAATTAATTTTTCTATTTAAATGGCTAAGTTAGTAAAAATAAAAACTAAATTAAAAATACCCTCTGCAAAGCTATATTTATGTTCATTTTTATATGTGTAAAAACCAGGGAACGTGAACTGGTATAAGTTTTATTTTAAAAATCATACTTTAACAGTTATTTTCTGTTTGTAAAGTAAAACTCAAAGAATAACTGTTATTTTTTGAGTTTTATATTAAAATTGTATAACAGTTATTGGTCTTGATCAAAAATAAAACTCAAACTTGATTTATGGCGATTTTGTGGGTAAACAAAATTTTAAAAAATATAGCTATAAAATATGCGCGGTTGCCTTTTTTAACAAATTTTTAGTAAGTTATAAAAAGCACGGATATCATGTTTTTTTTAATTATTTCATTTTTTCAAAAATGTCAAGGGAATAACTGCTATTCAAAAAAATCAAAAAAAAAAGTTATTTTTTGTGTTTTATTATAAAAATCAAAAAATAAAAATCATTACGGATTTGTAAACTACAATGGCTAATAAAAATTGTGGTGTATTTAAAAAATTTTTAGGACCCTTCTAAGTGCGTGATTTTTTTGTATGAAAAATTTACAATAACAGTTATTTTCGTTCCCTGGTAAAAACAAATGCAAATTCATGCCAATAGAAATGTCAATTTATTATTTATTTATTATATTTATTCAAAAAAATCGAGAAACGTCGATGTTACCAAACTATATATTTCTCCACCTCTACTAAGTATAACGATATCTAGTCTAATCTTCTTTTTCTACTCCCCACCAGGACATGCTCTTCAACGTGCAGACCGAGTGGATGCGCCTCTGCACCATGGTCACCGAGGCCGAGGTGGAGCGCGCCAAGAACCTGCTGAAGACGAACATGCTGCTGCAGCTGGACGGCACCACGCCCATCTGCGAGGACATTGGCCGCCAGATCCTGTGCTACAACCGCCGCATCCCGCTGCACGAGCTGGAGCAGCGCATCGATGCCGTGAGCGTGGGCAATGTGCGCGACGTGGCCATGAAGTACATCTACGACCGGTGCCCGGCCGTCGCCGCCGTGGGTCCCGTCGAGAACCTGCCCGACTACAACCGCATCCGCTCCTCCATGTACTGGCTGAGGGTCTAAGAGGTTCCACACCGCTGTTGTTGTAGTTTAATTCAAAGAGAAAATTTCGCCCGCAGAGGATCAGTAAACCGATAATACTAAAAGTTAAATAAGTTGCTCTGCCGCTATTTTATTGATGTGTGTAGTTGATGGGAATGCCGCTGAGTCCCTGCTGCAGCTGGGCGGGCTCCGTTTGACCCAAAGCGGGATCCAATCCCTGCCAGGTGCGGTCCTCGAAGGAGAGACCCGTGTCCGTGGTCATCAGCGACATTTTGGCCTGCGTGGCCAAGGCTAGCGAAGCGGGATCTCCTGCCGTTTCCAGGGAATCATTCACCGCTCCCCTCAGCCGTCCCGCTAACCAAGCTGATATCGTGCTCTGGTATATCAGCCGCCTCGAAGGGCAGAAAGCTGCGTCCCTCCGGCAGCAGTTGCTTGAAGTCCGTGACATACGCCTCCGGATACCGCATGTGCCAGGCGGGATTCAGGGCCATCTCAGCCTCGAAGACGGAAACAATGGGCTTGTAGTACTCCTTGGAGTCGTACATGTTGTTGAACGGGCAGCCGATCAGCACAAAGCAGTCGATCTCCAGGAAGTTGGCCAGCTTGGCGGGATTTATGCGGCCCACGGAAATGAGCTGCGTCTTGATGCCTCTGCCCTTGGCCATCGTTTGCAGTCGCGCCACCACATCCAGGTAGCCCTCGGCCGAGAGAGTGGCCACAATGAGGCCTAGAGTTTGCGCATCCTTGCACTTTTCAATGTGGAAGTAGCGACGCCGGATGAACTGAGCTGTGAGGGGATTCTTGGAGCTCAGGTTGCCACTAGAACCATCGTAAATGTGCCACTGAATGGCAGCTGCGGCGGTCAGGGAGAGATTGGCGAAGCGCTGGTTGTCCGAGCCTATGAAAATGCAAATGCGCTCAAGGCTCTCGGGCTCCTGGGAGGCCTTTGAGTCCTTTAAATCCGCTTCGGTGGGGGGAAAGAGCTCCAGGAGCAAATCCTTGGGTTCCAGGGCCTCTTTGAGTTGGTTTTTAAGCTGCTCATTGTAAATATGCTGGTAGCCAATGTCCAGGTAGACGCATAACTGCCTTTCCTGGCTCTCCGCCCGCAAATCTTGCAGTTTAACCAGGAGAAGAGCCACATCCAAGGGGCATCTCCGGGTAGAGATAGAGCACCGGCAAGCGGGTTGCCCTGCTGCGACAGGCATTCCCAAAGTGAATCACACTATCGGCATCCACATGGGCAGCCGCAATCTCGTCCACGCAGCAGCTGCCGTAGGTGGTGTCCGCCAGGATGAAGATCTTTACCTCCTCCGCCGCCAGTAGCTCCTTCAAAGCCACGCTAATAGCATTGCTGTGGGGCAGATAGTCGTCGGGGAATTGCAGGCAAACCTGGGGGGAAACTAATTCAGTTGGAACTCTGGATTAACAACCCATTTACACACCCTTTTGTAACCATTTTGGGTAATCCATTCAGTGCTCCTCCTTCGGTGGCTTTCGTTCCAGATCTGTTCCAAGCTCACCGGTTGCTCCGTTTCCGTCTGGCGCTCCAGGGCGGCCGCTCTCCGAGCTGGAGAAGGCCGATGCAGATGTTTCGGATGAGCTCATTTTCCGGCAGAGTTTCGATTTCCACAAAAATTCCTTTGTCTTCTCCAGTAAAAAAGATCAAAATGCAATAAAAACAAACAAAGTCAAGATAGCGTCGAAAAAAAGTACGCTTACACGCGAATGGTAGGTGGGTGTATTGGCTAGTGTAGCGAATACACAAACCTTGGCTTTTAGTGAGACCGTTTATTTGCCGCGATCGTGTAGTGAATACTCGAACCTATTTCAAAATGTGACCATTTAAATTTGTTTTCTCATTTGAATAGTTTTCTGTTGAAGCCCAGCTTAGAATTTAAAAGTTCCAATTTGTTTAAGTTAGTTTTGCAATCTTTTTGGACAAAACAATTAAAAACAAAAGATAATATTTTTTGGCCTTGGCAATTAAAAGGCGAACTTCAAGCCGCTGATCTTGACCCAATTTTACCTTTTGCAACGCCTACCAACACTTGTTGCTTTCTCCATTTCACCTGAAGAATTTTCACCCAACCAGAACAATTGCCGAAAAATATGAAAAACCAAAATCTACGCTGCATCGTGACCAATTGTTATGAGAGTGGTAAACAGGATAGAAGCGCCATGTTCAAATTCCCTATAAATCCGGTTATTAGGCAAAAGTGGTTGGAGAACATTGGGGTTTTGAAAGACATCAATTTGCATAATAGTCGGGTTTGTAGGCGTCACTTTGAGCCGCAGTGTTTCGGCAAGGCCAAGGTGTTTTCATGGGCAGTTCCTACGCTTTTTTTGGGTAAGTGTATCATTGGAATCTCATAAACCAACCATCTAAACTGGATCTTCCTCCATTTCAGGTGAAAACCAGTTATTACACTCTGTCAGTAAACCGGAAAAGAACCCCATCACCCGCAAATGCTGCATCAGGAACTGCCCTTCTCGATCTGATGGCCAGAGACTGCACTTCTTTCCCGCGGATCCCGAGCTGCGCCAGGAGTGGATGGACATATGCCACCTAAAAGTGGACCTCAAGTGGCCCTTCATTTGCGGCAGGCACTTCAGCAGGCACTTTCTGCCTAAGATTAATGGGAACCTTAAGAAGGACGCCATTCCAGAGCTCCATTTGGGTATAGAAAGTGAAGATCCCCTGGGAAAGTGCCTTAAAAATAGGAGGCCATCTTCCAAGAGGATTAAATTGTCAACCAAGAGCGACGATTCGGGTATAGATGAGGAAAACTCCAAGGATAGCAGTCCTAATGAATCCTGCTCCAGCTGCCTGGATCTCCAACAACAACTAACAGCTGCCCTCCTTAAAATTCAGCAGCTTGAGGAAAAACAGAAGGCTAAAGAGGAAAGCGACGACGAGGAGGAGCTAATTTTCATGCTGATGAAGTAAACTGAAGCACAATCTTCATGCCTTAAACTACCTTTATTCTAGTGCATCACCAGCTCCAGTTGAATCAGCCGCCTGTTGGTGTCGTAGGGCAGTCGGTATGGCATTGTAGCAGCCATGTTAGACAGGGCTTTCGCTTTCTGACGGAGCTGCTGCATTTGGCTCTGCTCCAGGGAGCCTCCCATTCCCTCCTTCAGCTGCTTGTACTGCCGCTGGGCAATGTCCATGGCGGCCACAATGACATCGGGCAGCACCTTGATCACCTCGCCGCTGAGGCGCCTCACATTCGCCAGGCAAACCTCCACATCGTTCGTCGTCTGGGGCATCAACTGGGTCTGTTTTAGCTGCTCCAAGGCGGCACTAAGCTTCCCTTCGTGATACAAGTTAAAGAAGATCAGCAGATCCTGCAGCAGCACAAAGCTGGCCTTCATTTTGGGCTCCACCTCGATGCTGTCGCTGGCCAGCAGTTGGCTGAATCTCTGGGCCTCCACACCCAGCCGCTCCCTCAACGAACCGCCCAGCGTGGGCAGCTGCACCACTTGGGCCAGCAGGATGCAAATGTGCTTTAAAGCCAGGCTGTATTTGCCAGCCATTTCGTAGAGCCTCGCCGAGATCTCAAAGTTGCCCAGGGAGGCCAGTTCGTCGGCCACCAGAGCGGCCATGGTGCGCGTGTCGAACTCCGGGCAGTCGAACTGGCGGAAGAGGCCACTGGAAATGGAAGAAACCAGATTAAGACTGATTTTAAATAAAACAAGAAGCTTATATACCCTGGCAGATTATTCCTATTATTTTACTAATCTCAAAAATGTTAAATTTCCTATTATTTCTCATTAATTTTCCGAGCTTTCCTATGGCAGCTATATCATATAGTAGTTTAATTTTGATAAAATTAAAATCAAAATTCGGAAATATTTAAAAACAGTCATATTCTAGAGTAGAAGAGAATACAATAAATACCAAAGAAGCTAAAATGTATTTCCTATTACTTTTCCATTAATTTTCCGATCGTTCCTATGGCAGCTATATAATATAGTCGTCCGACTTTTTAAATATTTAATTCGAAATTCAGAAATATTTACAAAAAAACATCCCCAATAGTAGAAGGTAATATTTCAAACAAGAGAGAACGCTATAGTCGGGTTGGTGTCCCGACTATCTAAAACCCGTCACTCAGCTAAAGGGAGTGCGAACGCTGTGTCGGGTTGGTGTCCCGACTAATAATCGTAACTCAGCTAAAGGGAGTGCGAGGGAGATAGATATATGTTGACAATTTATAAAGCGTATAACTTTTTAATGAATGGTCCGATTTGAAAAATGTCTTCTACATTTCGATAGGTATAAATATACACAACAAAATTGCATTTATACTTCTCGGAAATCTTTAAAGATGTGGGCGCAGGACCCATTTTAAAATCGTTAGTGGGCGATTGTGGGCGTTAGAGGGGGCGTGGCGCTCGGCTAAAATAAACTTGCGCTGCGTAGGAAGCCAAAGAATATGTGTGGGAAATCTCAACCTTCTAGCTTTTGTAGTTTCTGAGATCTCAGCGTTCATACAGACGGACAGACAGACAGACGGACAGACGGACAGACGGACATGGCTAGATTGACTCGTCTAGTGATGCTGATCAAGAATATATACTTTATGGAGTCGGAAACTGACTGAATATACACCTTCTACCCACCTGTTAACCTCCTCTTGGTCACTCGCCTGCCGCTGGCCGAAAATCAAATCAAATATGGTGGTATCAAAGACACCACTATCCACCACCACATCGCACACGCAGGCCATAAACATGTTGCGGCCCCTGGGATCCCTCAAGCAGCGCAGGGTGTAGTAGTAGTGCAGGGCCTCCGTGGTGTCCGTGCGCTCGAATCGCTGTACATACTGCCGGATCAAGCGGGTCAAATTGAGGCGCCTCAGTGGCTGCGGATCCATGATATCAATCGAGAGCAGCGGCTGCGACACACTGCGCGCTCCGCCCAGAAGACCCAACTCATGTAGAGCTATGGCCATGTGCACGGCATGGACGCGGGTTTCCTCCCGACGGGCCAGGAACTCAATGGCGGCCTCAAATTGGCCCGTGAGCGCCAGGGTTTCGAAATACAGATGCGGCTGCTGCCCGGCATTGAAGTACTTCTCGCCGTACTTCTCCAGAATCAGCGACTGCAGTTTGCCATAGCTGGCGGCGTCTCCCGGCTGCAGCATGGCCAGTCGGATCCACAGGAAGTCATCGATGGTCTTGGCCACCTCGCCATGAACTTCATTCACATCGCAGCCCAGCAGGATGCAGTAAACGGCCTTCTTGTAGGCATCCGTCGAGTTGCGTATCTTGTTGGCGTACTGAAGGCGCAACTGATTCTCTATTCTCGAGTTAATTTCGCCCGCATTCCGATCCGCGACCAGCTGGGCGAACTCCTCGTGGCTGCTGCCCGCTGCGCGCAGGAACTCCACCGCCGTTTCGGCCGAACCACATCGCAATCCGTAGTAGACCAGCGGCCAAAGGGGTCGTTCGCCCACGGTGTCCACCAGTCCAATGGTCTGCTGGGCGCTAAAACGATGGCTCACGTAGGCGAGGACCAGTTGATAGCTATTGCTGGCATAGGAGCCGCCCACCTGGGAGCACATGAACACCCGGTAGCGTCGCTCCAAATAGGATTTCCCATAGTTAACAAACTCTGGCCTCTGCTGGCGACTCTTGAGGGGATCCGAGTGCAGTGGTTCGCTTATTTGGGTGACGCAAGTGAGCAGGGTCCACATGTCAGTCAGCCGAGAGTCGCCGAAGCTCTGGGAGAGTTGGGCGAACTTCTGGACGAGATTGGGCCGCTGGCTGCCCTTTAAAAGCAGCTCGTTGTATTGGCGCAACTCCTGGGCGTACACAAGCTCCAGAGGATCGAGGCAGGAACGCGGCTGGCAGTGCGGATTCAGGATGGTGGGCTCGGGCAGCCGTTGCAGGTCGATGAAGTTCTGCGAGGGCGCAATTAGGGCATCCAGCAGGCGGGTCTTCTCCTCGTTCCAGGCGCTGTTCATGCTGGCCCACTTTTGCTTGCTCACAGAGTCGTTTATCTGGGGATTGGGGGGAAGATTATGTCAGCGGTGGTTAGTTGGTAATCCAGTGGCTCACCCACATTCTTGTTGGTGTCCTCGATCACCGAGAGAATGGCGTTCTCGCGCTCGTTCTTCAGAAAGGTGCGCACATCGGTGTCTGCTTTTACGTCCAGCGGTTCGAAGGCTTTCCGGGCACTCAGCGCCTCCAGCTTCTGGTTGAGCTTGGGCAGGTCCACGCCCTTGGATCCCAGCAGGATGTGGCTGGTTGAGAATGGGTAAACTCAAGCTCTGTGTTAACTTTCGTTAGAGATTGTTTACTCACGCCTGGATCTCCTTGCCGCCGGTTTGGGTGACGCGCGAGTGCAGCTCCGTGGTGGCCTGCAGGACCTGCTGGAGCGTCCGCTCCACGGCGGGCAGCTCGCACTCCGCCTTCGCCTCATTGGTCAGGTTCTGGGCGCGCTGCAGCAGAGTGTTCAGGTCCATTTTCGCAGATAAATTCACAACACAATCCGCCGGTTCGCGCCACCACACAATTAGAGATGACACTATCGATGACAGGACTATCGAACATGTTACAGGGATCTCTCCGAGGAGTGAAGTCTCGATATGGTAAATAAATAGTTATTATATGAATTTTTATTATTTTTAAAGGTTGTTCCTATTTGAGACAGTAACTTACAATAAATAAATAAAAGCAGAACTTTCTAAACTGTTGAATTGCGTTTTGACATTGTTGAATTTTGGTCAGCTGTTAATTCACAGCTGTTCCATACAAAGTCAACTATTCAGAAATTTGCTTTATTTAGACAAATTAAACTAAATAATAGGAACTATTGTTATTGAAAACTAAATAAATAAATAAACTAAAAATTTTAATTTAAAAAAGGAAATTTTTTAAAAAAAGGGTTGTTGAATTTTGGTAGTGTTTATTTTTAAAAGATTTAGAAATTTAAAAATTTTTGCTGAAAAGCCAGAGTTGTCACCTTTTTTTAAAAGTCGTGGCAAATCTGTAACATTTTAGTATCACCAGAACGCATTATTTATTTTAAAATCAACTTAGAAAGCATATTTGTGTTTCTTTTTACCTTGGTAACACTTTTAGACAGTAACTAGCAATAATAGGGGAATCCCTAAACTGTTGAATTACATGTTGTTAATTTTGTAATAAAAAAAAAAAAAATTCTTTTTTAAGTTCCGTGAGGAACTTAGGAACCATTTTAGTTCCCGTGCATTATATTTAAATACTGGTTGGGGGCTAGAGAATAAATTTTATGTTTAAGTTCCGTGAAACTTTTTAACAAATATTTAAATTTTTTGTTGAATTTTCAACAATTTAGCAATTCAACAGTTTAGGAATTATTTAGTTTATTTATTTACCCCTCTCTAATTTGCATTACCGATAGTTTTGCCGATAGTCCTGCCCTAGGAAATCCACTCTCCCATCCCTAAAAACGTGCGCTCGTTTTGTTTTTATAGTTGGATCCACTTGTTTGCTTCACAAAATGGCCCTTTTGACCGAGAAGCGTACTAAGAAGACAGCTGCTCCTGCGGCCGACAGTTCCCCGGAGGAGTCCGACTCCGAGGGCGCTCAGGAATCCGGCAGCGAGGTAGAGGGCAACGCCGGCTGGGCGGACTCCATCCTGAAAGTGCTGAAGACCACCAAGCCGGAGACCCAAAATAAAACAGTGCTCGCCAGGGCCAAAAATAGCCAGGCGGCTGTGCGATTCCAGAAGGCCGCGGCCGCCAAGAAGCCGGGCTTCGACTTTGAGATCGAGAAAACAGAGGCGAAGGACGAGGAGGACAGCGAGGAGGAGGATGCGAAGCCGGAGGCATCTGCTCTGGATGCCACACTGACCAGGCAGCAGCGCAAGAATGTGCCCCTCCAGCTGCGCGTGAAGCCCAGTTTCCGGGACATGGAGCGCGAGCGAACGCTCCGCAAGGTGGCCACCCGCGGCGTGGTGCAGTTCTTCAACGCCGTGCGCATCCAGCAGAAGGATCTGCAGCAGCAGCTGGAGGAGGCCGGACCGCTGGACAGTCGGCAGGATGCGGTGCTCAACAACATCAACAAGCGCAAGTTCCTCGACGTCCTGATGAGCGGCAAGCGAGCCAAATCCACGGCCATAGACAATGCTGTGAAGAAGGAGGAGCAAGAAACGGACGACGACGACGAGGAAGAGGCTTCCGGCGGCAAAAAGAAGTCCGAATGGAATGTGCTGCGCGAGGACTTCATGACGAACAAGAAGATCAAGCATTGGGACGAGGAAGACGACGACGACGAGGAGGCCAACAATGATGAAGCCGACGACAGCGAGGATGATGATGGGGAGGAGGATTAGCTTTAATCTTTAATAAACTAAATAAATGTTAGCTTTTCTTTGTGTAATGGGCTACAGCATCATTTCCGCCTTGGAGGTCATGTAGATGGCCACGATCAGGCCAAACAGGCCGATGGCCGAGCCGAAGATCTCCACGATGAGGATCTTGACGAAGAGCGCCGAGTTGGCCGCATCCGCCAGGGCGGCGCCGGAACCCACGACGCCCACAGCAATGCCACAGGTCACGTTCACCAGGCCCGTGCACAGGCCTGCTCCGAAGACAGCGAATCCCGTGAACATGTTGACCGACATCACCGTCTTGTCGGTGATCAGCCGCAGCGTGCTGTGCTTCACCACGCTGCCCGAGAGCAGGATGGCCGTGATCAGGCCATAGATGGCCACCGCCTCGCAGAAGATGACCGAGATCAGGTTCTTGGTCTTGATGCGAGGCGATCGCACGCCTCCGCCGGCCACACTGCAGCCAATCATGTAAATCCCGGTGGCGGCGCCCAGAACGGAGAGGGCGCAGGCCAGGAAGATGCCCAGGCCGGACCACATGAAGGGATTCGAGGTGTACAGGAACCAGCAGAGGCCCAGGCGCTCGCCCGTTCCGGTCATCACGTTGGCCAGGACTACACCAACAGCAGCCAAGGTGGCGGCACCGACAAGAAACAGCAGAAAAAACGTTGCAAACTTCATCGTGTAGCTCTTCTTTTTTTTGTAACCAGGCGCTTTGAGATTAGGGATTCTAATGTTAGTTACAAAATGACATACAAATAATAGACAGGAACTTATCAGCTTTAAAACAAAACGAAATTTCCTACAAAATTCGTATAAATAGGATTAACTTCTTTGTTTTGCTTTTCCTCAAATTCCAAATCATTTAAATTTATGATTTTACTGTTAGAACCTAGGCCAATTAAAACACCAGTTATTAAATACATTGGTGTATTTACTTGGAAGCTGAAATGATTACATAACAACGTATGTACATTTGCATCAATTCGTGAAAATTCAGAAATAATCGCCGTTTAACGATTCGATTTGGCCACGCGCTCCAGTTCGTCCTTCTTCTTGATGGCATACGAATTGGAAGATCCCTTGGCAGCGTTTATGAGCTCATCGGCCAGGCACTCGGCCACGGTTTTGATGTTACGGAATGCAGCCTCACGGGCTCCAGTGCAAATTAGCCAAATTGCCTGAAAATATAAATTTTATTGAATATCTTTGTTATTAGAAACATTATTGCGTTACTAAATCAAAACTTTATTTCATATGGTCAATATAATAATATTTTATGGTTAAACAAGCAACTCCTAATTATTTTAGGAATTAATGTGATTTTTTTTTAGATTTTTATGATTTTTATGTCTATCTTTTCTGGGTGAAATTTGCTACTGACCGTTTTTTATAGGGAGTCTTTTATAGTAGTGTATAGATAACATTTACTAGTGAAAAGCTTTGAAGAAAGATCATTGAACAGAAGCAAATTTTAAAATATAGAATTTAATACAGGATGTTTTGCTGTATTGATAACATCTAATTTTAAGCAGATTAATTAAAAAAATCAAAATTTTAGTAAAAATGTAGTTTATTTTTTAGAAAATGTTTTCAAATTAAAAGTTTTTGGAAACTTTTGTGTTGAAAAGTTAAACTGAATCTTTCGAATATATGTTCTATGTGCTTCATCGAAATCGGATTAAAACGCTTCAACAATTTCAAACGATTGAGATTTCCGATCTCTTTCCAAAGTTTAAATACCTTTTGATTGGGATGCAATATGTTTCCCTAAGAAGGAAGACGTACACTCTTTATACCGTTCAAAGTATAATATATCCATCTCCCTCGCACTCCCTCTAGCTGAGTAACGGGTATCTAAAAAGTATACACATATTCATATTCACCTGGTTGACGCGTCTCAAGGGCGACACATCGACGGCCTGGCGGCGCACGGTGCCGGCGCGTCCGATGCGCGTGGAGTCCTCGCGGGGACCCGAGTTGACGATGGCGTTCACAGTCACCTGGAGCGGATTCTCCGAGGTCAGCAGGTGGATGATCTCGAAGGCGTGCTTGACGATGCGGCAGGCGAGGAGCTTCTTGCCGTTGCTGCGTCCCTTCATCATCAGCCCGCTGGTGAGGCGCTCCACGATGGGGCACTGGGCCTTGCGGAATCGCTTGGCCGCATAGCGCCCGGCGGAGTGCGGCAGGTAGCGGGCGAACTTCTCCTTGACGGCGATGTAGTCCTGCAGCGAGATGTCGCTGATCGAAATGTCGTCGCAGGCCCAGCGGCCGAAGAGCTTGATCTCCGGCCACTCGGTGGCCTGCTGCGCGGGCATCGTGGTCGCGCCCTCGTCCTCCCAGATCTCCTCGTCCTGGTTCTGCTGCGGCGGCAGGTGGCCAGCATCCTGGTTGTTCGATTCTACCACTTCCTCGGACATTTTGGGTACAGTTGGAGCTGGAAATTCAAGGAGAAACTCGAAAAGCGTGCGACTTGGAAAGCGTTTTTCGCCGAAAGAAAGAGATGCAAAAGAAAACGGTAAAATGTCATTTTTAAAATGGCCGCCAAATGCAACACTGCGGCGCGGGGCTGCCAACTTCGGGCGGTTCTTGGGCGGGAGTTCAAACTAAAGCTTTGTGTAATTTGTAAACCCGTTACTGATAGAGTGTTCCTAGAAAAAACAGCTCCGCAAATTTGATGTAGTTAGTTTATTGTATCGATTTATAACTATAAACCTTTTTTAGGGAAGCCAAATATATTTCCATTAGTTTTAAAATCTCCCTTATCAGTTGAACACGGCACTGAAACAACCTCAAGTCGAGCTAACGATTAAACGCAGAATTTAAAACCATTAATTTACATTTTGGGATTATCTTTATCAGGGGTGTCACAGAAATCTCTTCCAACCGAAGACGGTTGGATTTTGCATTGATGCACGTAAGAACTTTAACGGATTTCGGTTGGAAATAATTTCTGTGACACCCCCGTATAAATTGCTTTTTGAGTTGCTTTACAAAAGAAGATACAAACGCGAATGAACCGTTTTGTGTGCAACTTAAAATGATTTCAGTCAAGTCATCAGAAATTTTTGCATGTATATGCATAAGCGCAGTCAGGATTTGGTTGAGGGGGTACTCAGATTTCAAATGTTGTATAGAAAACATTTTTGGAAACATTATTTTAAATCATTTTTAAGGGGTGTTCTTAAAACCAAAAATCCCTCCTGCCCACGCCCATGTGTATGTGTATGTGTGCTTTATTAAAAAATGCAGAATATGTTTGCTGTTCTGCTGACACAACATAAGATATTCGTATACGCATAGATATATCTATGATGCATTTTTCAGAAAAGTGTATGAAGTCGAAATGGTGATAACGGAAATAATAGAAGTACGTAATCTACGAATCACAATCTTAGATTCGTGGAAAGAACGTATCAGTAATTTCCTATTCAATGTGAGCTTCAGAGGGTGCATATACGGCATTCAGGCTTGGGCTTTATAATAAGTTAGTTCGCATCTTAAGACTACTAATGAAGTCTTCTGTGATTTTGATTATTTATTTGGGCTCGATGCTCTGGCTAGCGGGAACAGCATGTGTCAACAAAGATTTAATTTTGTAACATATACAACTGTGGGCGCCAGAGACACTGGTAGATCAAAAGCTGAAATTACTTATTTTGGGTTTCCCATTCTTGATAAGCCTGACTTGTCTTAACATGTACATTTTATGCTCATGATTTTCTTTAAATAAGTAGAGCATGAATCACAATCTTAAATCAAATTTAGACAAACAAAGTTGTAATTGTTCGCATATGGATGTTTTATGAACAGTCAGTTCTCATCCCTAGCCTAAGAATGAAGTGTTCCGTTATTACATTGTGTGTTTTTTTCGTCACGGTGCTCTGGCACCAAGGAATAGCCATTCTCCTGGATGCAAAATGTCTTACCCCAAAGAATTTTCGAGGAAAAATAACGTATGGCCGTAAAACTGAACTGGGAAGCACTCCATGGATGGCCCTTCTACGCAATTCATCAAAAGCCTTTATTTGCGGTGGTTCACTTATTAAAAAAAGTTTGTTTCAAGTATGTAGCTTTAGGCAAAATCAAATTATTAATTTCTTTCGTTCTCAGACTTTGTTATAACAGCCGCGCATTGTATTGAAAATGAAAAAAAATTGTAAGTACCGCTCTGCGTTGGCCCATAAAAAATTCAAAAATTTATTTTATAATGTTGTCGTCTTAGATTTGTGAATTTAGGAGTTTACGACCAATTCTGTCATCCATCAAACTGCACGGAGGTGGAAGAATATACTGTTGCCGAAAAATTCACTTACAATGTAAACGGAATAAGAAGTGATTTAGGTCTGGTGAAACTGGACAGATCAGTGATATACAAAGGTATAAAGTTACATCGTATTTTAATCCATAATAAGTATATATATCCATCGAATATGTGAAATTGTGATGAATTGCAGACAAAATGTGATGAATCGCTGATGAAATTCTGATGAATAGTTGATGAATTGCTGATGAAATTAATGATATTTTTCTCGAAATTGGTAAAATTTTTTTCAAAGTTAAAAACATACACATTCAAATTGACGTACTATTAATCAGTAATATGCAATCTTCTCTCATCTACAGCCCATATCCGGCCGATCTGTATCATTTTGGATAACCGTGTAAGGCCGTGGCCCATCCCAAGTTTTACAGCCTTTGGCTGGGGTAAAACGCAGAGTGGAGAAGCCAGCCAATTTCTGAGATCCATCACTCTACACCTCCGCAACGCGAAGGAGGAATGCGAACCGTGGATTAAACCAATGCCCAAAAAGAACTTCTGCGCTGGAACCAAAGTAGGGGACACCTGTAGTGGCGACTCCGGTGGGCCTTTGAACGCGCACGTTAGACACAACGGCAAAATGATCTACGCTCAGTTCGGAGTAGTTAGCTTCGGCTACACTTCCTGCAATTTCAATGCCTATTACGTAAATGTTATGGAACACAAACTGTGGATAACCGAAATTGCGTATTTAAATAAAAAAAACTATTTTTGGAACCTGCTTAAGGTGAGGCATTCGTATTTTCGTATAGAATACATTAATTTTTACATTTTGGTTCTTTTGCAGAACTCAGTCAAGAACAAGAGAGAAGTATCTATTCCCTGATTCCTCAAATACGAGAGATTTATCAACAAATGCTGTTGGTTTCGTAGCCCTAATAATCCCACCGTTAAGTTAGAATATGCTTTAGAAACAAAATAAAAAACAGCTTCAATCGCGCTGACCTAAAACTCAATTTACTTTGATAAACCGAATGGATGCCACATATATATATTCGAGTGATGTGTGTAATGTACTCATAACCATTTAGCGCGTGCTTCTGATAAGCCGTCGTCGTAGTCATTCCTTCGCACTAATTGATAAACAAAACGAATACATTTTATTATTGGTTTTAATATGGAATACTTGCTATAATAATAATAATAATGCGACTGTGCATCTTTCTACAACTTCTGCCGTGAACAGTAGCCTGAAATATACAAGTTTATCGTTTTGTGGTAGTTAATATAATACATTCTGAATTAGCCTTTACGGAGCCAGTGTAGAAACAAACATAACAAACTACTTAAAATCAAAAACGGACACACACACATGATGTCTTTCGTTTGGCGAAAATAATTATATAAACAAATCGCCGTCGTTTTCACACCGTGCACACTCGGCAATCGATTGAGTGATGCTGCTGACTGCGAGTGTGCGAGGCGTGAAAACCAACTGCCAACTTAACCAACTATCAACTTAATAAGTAACTAAAGTCCTAGTTTAAAGCGTTTCGGCTGATCGGATGTCGTTCTGTGGGGCGTCGCCTGCAAGCTGTAACTGCATATAACGAGTTGTAATTTCCAAAAAATATGCAAGCACTGGTGTTGTGCGTGCCTGCTCGGGATGGGGGAATGCCTTGGTGACTGATTGCCGTTCTTCGTGATGATGATGATGCGAAGGCTGCGGGAGAAAAGTGGGAATTAATTTTATGACTCGAACTTGGATGAGGTCGAAGCAATAGCACTCGGAAATCGAAGAAAGCTGGCAGAGAAAATTTTATAGATTTTATAGCTATCTCTCTTAACTATCTTAACTTAGATTTATTTTAAAATTTAACCATTTGCCCTGATAATAGAGGATTATTAAAAATTAAATTGCAAGAAAAATCAAATGAGTTAAAAGCTGCTCCTATTGTTAAACAAAAACTATTTAAGAACACTAGGTAGAAATTCGGATCAAGGATCTGAACATTTCTTAATGTGCAACCTATAGGAGATAACGAAATATGTGCCATGCCAGTGCTATTATCTTGACCTTCGCTGTTGCGCCATGATTCACACACACTCACGCTGGAGGGCTGGCGACTGCGCCTACTCCTTGTCGCCCATCTTGGACTTGGAGGTCATGTAGATGCCCACGATGAGGCCGAACAGACCGATGGCCGAGCCGAAGATCTCCACGATGAGGATCTTCACGAAGAGGGCCGCATTGGCGGCGTCCGAGAGGGCGGCTCCGGATCCCACGATGCCCACGGCGATGCCGCAGAACAGATTGACCAGGCCGACGGCCAGGCCGGCGCCGAAGATGAGGTAGCCGGAGAACCAGTTGGTGTTCTGGATGGCCGCCTGCGAGAGCGCCGTCTCCATCGAGAACTGCTCCAGCTGGCCGGAGAGCACGATGGCCGTGATCAGGCCGTAGATGGCCACCGCCTCGCAGAAGATGACCGAGATCAGATTCTTGGTCTTGATGCGGGGCGCCTTGACGCCGCCGCCCACGATGCTCGTGCCCGTGGTGTGGATGCCCAGGGCGGCGCCCACCACGGACAGCGAGACGGAGAGGCCGATGCCCAGGCAGGCCCACATGTAGGGGTTCGAGGAGGCCAGGAACCAGCCCACGCTCACCCGCTCGCCCTTGCCCGTCATCACGAAGTACAGGGTCAGGATGGTGGCCACCGCGAGGAAGAGCCACAGGAACGTTTGGGACACCACGGTGCGTATTTGGGCCGCCATCTTGCTATTTCTTCACTGGCTGCGGATCGTGGGGGAGTTAGTGCATCCGGATTTCCAACTTTTCCAGCTGACACTCACCGAATTGCAGGCGTAATTGTATTTTCTCGGCCGACAGGTGACTGCTCCGTGCGAAAAAAGAATCCACAATCACATGACGTACATTTTCTCTATCATAGGCTATCGAATAATCACGCCACTCGATAAGTGCGATAACACAACAGTGCGCAGCGATGACCAGCTGGCTACTTTATAGCTGAAATGGGACATTGAGGAAAATATATAAAAAACAAATTAAAGAAAATAAAACTTGAGTTTAAAATGCATTTGTTATTAAAAATCGTATATAATTTTTGGACACTTTCGTTAGCAATAAAAGGGGAAAATATTATAAGAAATCTAGATCCCGAGTTTGAGTAAAAATATATGTAAGTATTTTTAAGGATCTATTTATATAGATATTTATCTTTAAACTTAAAATATAATTTTATAAGAACAATTGAACATGAACTTATTTGAAGTTTTAAAAAAGCTTTATAGCTTTTAGCTATATCATCATCTTAGCAGAGACACTCTCCACAGCAGAGAACTACAAGCAAAGACATGCACCAGAGTCATTCTGAATTAAAGAAAAGATATCAAAAGATATCGATAATTTTTTAATTTTTGATTTTGAATTTTGGCGCTAAAACCAAAAATACATTGGATAACAAAAATATTACAGATTTTGAACTTGCCAATTTTCATAAGCCTATTCTAAATTTCAAATGCAGTGAGACTTTAAAATAACAATTTAAAAAAAAAAAGTAAAAAATTTACGTTCTGCATCTGATTTTAAAACCTTTTTATAGCCACAATAACTTTAGAATGTACGTAAAAATATAAAATAAAAAAATCTTTTTTATAGTCATTAAAGGTCATAAAACTTACATATATATTTTTATTCACAGCGACATCTTCAAATGGCTGCATATTTCTTGTTACTAGCTTGGATCAGAAAGATTTATCCTCTTTTAGTAGTAAATTTTTTGGGGCTGAGATAAGTAATATTTTTTATTTACGCTCATTAAATTGTCCCATATAAATTTCATATCTTTTGTTTGTTTTCATTTGCTTTTGTTTTTTGTATGCATATCAGCATTCGGAGGCCTTTTTTGCAGTTCAGTGGCCACCGTTCGAGGAATTGCGCCTACGCGCGGAAAACTGTCCTGTCGGCAGCGACTTTTCCAGTTCATTGAATTGGTCGGGGAGGTCAAGATTTCACTCTGGATGGGAGCACGTTTAACAGCAACCACGTGACGGTAGCGTAATCTAAAGCCACATCATCATTAAATATTTACACTACATTATAATTCCTGTTCCTCTTTGCCGCGGTGCGTGTCAGAAAGACATACAGACTTTCACTTCAAAAAATAGTTACATTTGAAAAAAAAGGATATAGGTAAACCTATTAGGTATCTATATATATTTAATAGAATTTATTTTTTAAAATAAATATGTTTTCGTACAGCTTTATTTATTTTTTTTACTTATTGTACAGTTGCATTTTCAAGTATTAAGTTATTGTACTACACTTTTTCTCGAGTGTAAAACAAGTGAGATAAAGGCCGTGTCGAGCCGAGTTCCTGAGGAAGAAAATGCCTTACAAGAACCGGAAGAAGAAAAAGTCGGAGAGGCGACACAACCGCAACATTCAATTAAACGTAATGTGTTGTTTGTTGTCCCTCGAAGGACAGGTTGGGACTATGCCCCTTTTGCCCCACCTCTTTCTCCCCCCCCTCGATAATAAATGTAAACTTTTCACTTGAAAAATTCACGACGCGCATAAAGAACGAATAAAATGAGATGTCTACGGATAAGCCAGAATGGCTATGGGTCTGGGTCAAGTCAAATATCACAAGAGAAATCCATTAACCTGCGTCTTTCTTCTCCTTGACTGACTTTTGTGTTCGGCTTATCTTTTGGTTTTTCTTTACTGGTACGTAATGGGGTTTAAGTAAAAAATCGTAACTAAAATTAATACTTAAACAATTCATAAAATGGTATCCTTGGATTAGAAATACAAATTGGCTATCATATTTTATGTAAAATATCAAGAATTTTTTTAAATAGATTTTAAGTTGGAATAGTTAAAATAATAATCATTTTACGGATATAATCCAGGAATACTATCCCAATTTTTAAAATTCTAATAACTATAATTGTAAAAAATTATATTTTTTTCATTCTGTTTCAATCCGTTAATGTTAAATGAAATAAAGTTTTTCCAAAATGTTTTTTTACCTGGCGCTTTGTTGAAGACTTTCAAGTGACCAAATAAAAGAAGCTAAAATTCCTATAGTAATTTGTCAAGTTTAAGGTCTGCTTGAGTGTGGAAAAAATGTGAACAATGAAGCATATGCATAGGCGCACCTTTTGTTCACCTGCCACCACTTGGCAAGGAGCAACAATAACAATAACTGCAGCAGAGTTTAGTTTTCTATACACCGGAAGTTGGCCGGGCGTATAAAAGGCCTTCCGCTGCTTTCCGGTGAAATGTTGCATTTCAAGCATGCCCCAGACATGAGCACCCAACAATATGCAAGCCAGCAGCAACAAAAAACAACATTTACTGCTGCAGGGAAGTCTGAAGTAGCCACGGGCACAATGAACTTCAAAAGACTGCTAAATTCCGACAGCTGGAATAAGACTAATTTGGAGAGTCATTCAGCTAAATTCAGAGTTCTTACAAACATTTTTGGGATATTCCTCACCATAAATTCATTTAATTTCTGTGAGATATTAATATGTAGATTTTTATTTTTTCAAAAATGTTTATATTTAAAGCTTCATCCTTTCAATATTCAGTAAGTAAACAAACATTTGGCCAACACATCCACCTACAAATCCTTTAGAATGCGAGAGTCCGGCACAAAAGGCTGTTGAGAATTGATTTCCTGTTTAGACATTTAGGCCGATTTGGAAACCATTGGGCAAAGTTCAAAGGCAGGACTGAAGGCAGGTGGGTGAAATGCTCAAGCAGATCAAACGACCAACTTGGAGCTTCGCTACCTGGCTTATAAATAAAGCAGGTCCATCTGAGGTTAAGTAGGCCCCCTTTCCATTTTTCTTTTTCTC